TCATTTTTCATTTTGTGTGTGTGTGTGTGTGTGTGTGTGTGTGTGTGTGTGTGTGTGTGAAGTGTCTTTGAAACACATGACTGCTAACAGAAAGCCACACTAAGGAAAGACACTCGATTCGCTTTCATCCAAAGGCCGCAGTTTACTACATTACGGATACTGTCTGAAGGTTGGGCCATTTCAAAGGGAAACTAATCTGAGCCAACAGAGAGAAACTGAAAGGAAAACCTCTCTTCTATCGTTTGTAGCCGAGTCACTTCTTGCTTTACTTATGGAATTTGAATGAGCCAGAGTGTCACTGCTTGTTGCCCGCCTCCTCATGGAGTCTGCCAGGCTCTAACCCAGGGTCCTGACCTGTCGGAGCAGGAGTGTAATGTGACTATTTGCAGTCCTGGGCTGGGAGTCAGGTGCCTGGGAGATCTCTCACCACCATGTCCTCCCACCGCATTCTTACGCCCTGATTTGGCTTGCTGTGGCCAGGCATTACAATGAGATAGGTCAGCTCCTCAGTATTTACCCTAAAGAATTAAAGTCGGCATACTCTAGAGATACATGCACACTATATCCAGGTTTACAGAACAATTCACAATAGCCAAACTATGCAACCAGCTAGGGGTCCATCAATGGATGGATGGATAAAGAAAATGTGATATATATACAAATGGAGTTTTATTTGGCCATCAAGTGAGTGGAATTATGTCATTTGCTGGTAAATGGATGGAACTGGAGAACATTGGGTTAAGCTAACTAAGCCAAACCCAGAAGGTCAAGGGTTGTATGTTTTCTCTCATATTTGAAAGCTAGAGGAGAAAGGAAAAGAAATGTGTGTGTGTGTGTGTGTGTGTGTGTGTGTGTATGGGAATCTCATGAAAATAGAAGGGAAATCAGTAGAGGAGGAGGAGCTATGAGAAGGGAGGAAGGGAGAGAGGACAGAAATGTTGGGAGTGGTATTGGCCAAATTATATTGTTGCAATACGTGTAGGTACAAATATGTGGCAACAAGTCCTACCATTAAGCACAGTTACCTGTACCAATAAAAATATGGAGGTTATCTCGGTTTTGCATCTGGATAGAAAGGCCCAGAACAGTTCAGTGGAGGGCCTACGGTTGCTGAATGGGGGGTTTGCACTTGTCCTCTTTTTTATTTTTCTGGCCAGGACCTTTTAACCCTGCCAGCATTGGACCCTTGACTTTCTCATTGGTAGGATGGGAAGACCCTGATGAACTGTCCTGCACTGTTCCTTGGCATTTTTTCTGTTGTGAGACGGTTAGTAAGTTTTGCAGCAGTTCCGAGAAGCTGGCGAGAAGAGCTTGCATTTCTTGAGTGCTCACTGTTCCCAAGCATTGCCCAAATGCCTCCTGTGGAATATCTCCATGTGCCCTTGTAATCAACTTGTTTTCCCATTCTGTGGTTGAGGTACAAGAGGTTAAATGTCTTGTCTGAGGTCACCCTGCTGTTGAGCGACAGAGCAGAGCTGAATCCAGAGTTCTCTCATTCAACCAGTTCTCCAGAAACTAGCCTCCAGGGACGTCCAGGTTTTAATAGAGCACCTCAGGCTTCAGCAAGATGCCTGTGCAGTGCCAGAAGGAGGAGTGTGAATCACTGTGGACGTGAGGCCCAGGCTGATTAGCAGCCATTAGTGTTCAGGGCGACTTGACCTCATGGAGCAGAGCTGCTATAGTGGCTGGCCTATGTGAGAGACATGGCTTGTGAGGCCTCAGCCACCCACGGTCCAGCCTTACAGAGGAGCAGACCATGCCATGTTCTCATTTTGCCCTTGAGGATATAGCCACACTTTGTGCAGGTGGATGAGAGGTTAGCTCTGGAACCAGACTGCTTGTACTCGGACCCTGTGCCCTCTATGCTATCTGTCAGTAAGTTATCTTACCTCTCTGCACCTTAGTTTCCTCTCATGACCAAACACAGGGTTGATGGAAGGACCTACTGCAGAGTTGTGGAAAGGATTAAATGACAGGATCCATGTCTAGCTCCGAGCCTAGCATTTGGCATGCCGTTCAGTACTCTCCACAGCTCTTGTTACTGGTAGTATTGTTAAGTTAGTATTGTTAGTAGTGGTAACCAGCTGCCGATGTGTGCCCTGTCCCTGTGCTTGAAGTCACCAGGAGAGCTTCATTCCAATGTGCCGTCACTCAGATGCAGGTACCGTGCACACAAGGTGACAGCAGACCTGTGCAGACGGGATTTACTTCTTGGTTCCTTCAGCAAATGTTTACAGGGTGCCTCCTGTGAGCCAGGCCATTGGAGACTGGGCTGCTGCAGCGGGCCAAACAAGCCAGGGTCCCTGTCCTCACTGGACTGAGAGTCCTGCGGGGAGGACTAGCAGGCAATGAGCAAAGTCGTCATCAAACAGTACATTAGAAAGCAGTGTGAGCCCAGAAAGATAAAGCAGGGAGGAGAGCAGAGAGGGCCAGAGGGAGGTGGTGGGTTTACAGCTTAATGGAGGGGCCTGAGGAAGCCCCCTGGAGCTGAAGTTAGGGGGCGCTATGTGGATATCCACTGGGGTTGGGGGAGCAGGCAGAGGGAACAGCAAGCAAGTACAAAGGGCCTGAGGCAGCAGGTTGAGCAGCGGGAACCTAGAGAGGGCAGGAGAGTAGGAAGAGAGGTCCAAGGGGTGACGGGGCAGGGCCCAAATGTGTGGAGCCTGAGACCTCTGAACAGGAATGACACGCTTTCACCTGCACTTAGGAGGTCATTCTGAGTGCTGTGTATTGTTAGTAGTGGTAACCAGCTGCCGATGTGTGCCCTGTCCCTGTGCTTGAAGTCACCAGGAGAGCTTCATTCCAATGTGCCGTCACTCAGTCGCAACTCTCCAGGGGCCAGAGGTAGAGGCAGGAGGCTGCTGAGGTTCCCACAGTAACCCAGACAGATGGGGGGAGTGGAAGAAGGTAGCAAGAAATAGTTATATTCTAGAGAAATTTTGAAGATAGAAACTACAAGATTTACCATCAGATCAGATGACCCCAAGATTAGTGGCCTGGACACCTAGAAGGGTAGAGTGGCAGTTTACTGAGAAGAGAGTGGGGGTGGGAGGTAGGGGGGGAGAGTGCGTTTGGCTAGGTTGGGGGATGGCTCAGTTCAGTTTTGGACATGTTAAGTCTGGTAGATAGATGCACAGCCGACGCGGTCAGCAGTGCCTGATGTACTAGTCTGGAGGTGAGCGGGGGATGTCCGTACGGGGAACACAGGCTTGGTTACCTGGGCGGTTGTGTGCTAGTAAATGTCTAACAGCTGGCTGTGCAAGGTGGGGGGGTTGGTGCTGGGGAGTCTCATCTATAGCCTTTGCCAATGTCTGCGTAAATATTCCCACATTGGCCAACTTTAGGCACACCCTGTTCTAGAAGGTCTTCACTTTATAGATCCTGTAGCAATAAGTAATGTCAAGAGCATACATAATAGTGAAAAAAAAAAAAGCGCCAAACGATTAGGAGGTTATGAGTTTTGAGTGTTTATTACCTTTGTTTTTAGTACGATTTACATATAAATATATTCCGTGTTGATGGTGGCTGTATTTAAAAACAGGCTGGACAGTTTCCTGACAGCTCAGCACTGGACCTTCATGGAGTGTGAAGTGGTCCAGCGCAGGCTGATTGTGCCACCCACACTTGCCATCTCAAGAGGCGTTGGGAATGAGGATTCCCTTAGGTCAGGCCCTCAGAGCCGGGTCAGGAAGCTTTTGGCCCAGTCTCTCCCTGCGGGGAACCAGTACAGATCAAAGTCCACTGGCCTTGCATCACAATTGAGTTTTGGCACCTGTGGGGGCAGAGCAAGAAGGGACCCTGCAGCAAAGATACTTGGGTTGGCGGGGTGTCCCTCACCTTATGCTTCAGTTTTAGAGATCTTTGGTCTGAATTCTTACTTTTCTCCCATGTGTTCTTTTTAAAAGTTCAGACTCATAAGCTCTTCCTTCCTGGCAGCATTGTTAGTGTCAGAGTTGTAAGTGTCCACGGGGGCGGGCAGCACTGACCCTAACCTCCCAGTGC